CTAAATGACTCACCCATCGAAGGCATGACACATCTCCCATGACAACGTGGCTGTTATGAACACAGCCCACTTGTTTGTAAACAGCGCGCTTACATAGTAGAAGCTAACAAGTTCGTAAAGGAACAATCCATTCTGGTACAATGTCTGAATCATTTTTTATAAAACTGAACTTATCAGAAAATTTTTGCAAATACCTGCGTAAAAAATCTGATCTCATTTTGACGCCTTTTCTTTTGTATATAATTGCTGACATTGCCCTTTTGTGTTCCCAGCGTCTGGAGAAATGATAGACTTTATTACATTTCATGATATATTTTCTCATATCTAGAAAATAACAATTTATAACTAACGTTGTTGGACTTCCTCAGTTTTATCAGCGTGTTACAATCCAGCATACATATCACAACCATAATAGTCGTGCTTGTGTAATTGTCTGTGTATGTTGATATAATAGAACCACATAGTGTATCAGCGAACTTGAATACCCATTTAGTAGCATCGTAATGAATGTAGCATTCACTTCCTGCAAAAACGAAGCCTTCTCTGGCTACTTTGGGATTGAGACTTACTCCAAAAATATGGGATTATGTGGCAAAATCCTAATAGCCAAATCAGGATGACTGCACATAGCGTATTTCTGATATCGAATAGATCGTTTGCCCGATGGGGTAAAGTCAAGACCACTAAGCGATTGAAAGAAATCAGAAGGTGTGAATAAACACAAACATTCCAGAACAAAATGTTTGTTTGGCCAAAGATTTTTCCGATAACTTGCATAGATAAATCACTTTGTCTTAAAACCCAGCATTACAAAAGAATTAATGCAAAACAATAAATTCGTTTTACTCACAGTATAGTCATTGGAGTAACCCATAGCAAGAAAACAAGCATTACTCCTAGATTGGCCATACTGTGAGAGAAGCAGAGCAAACCAAATCCGTTCCTTAAGACAGGATTCCGGTACACGCAGAGGATTGCGGCAGAATTAGCCAATAATCCGAAGATACTTGCCTAAAAAAGTTGATATTTTTGATTCTTAGGCCCGTATGCACGTACATTCCGCTGGGGAGGAGAGGGGAGTTGGATTCCCAGAGGAGCGATCCCCTTCACTGAACCTCGCTCGATCCCCTCCTATCCCCTCTATAAGTATCGATTGGACGAACCCCAGCAGAGATCTTTTCCCTTCCAATCCCCGTATGCACGAATGTAAGCCAACAACACGTGGATCTCTATGTAAGCCAACAACACGGGGGAGGGGATCGACATCCCTTACGGAGTTGGGGTTCGATGGTGTACTTCATGCCGGAGAAGCCACTTCATGCCAGAGAAGCAAATATTCTAGTTTCAGTCAGTCATGGCAAAGCATTTCTACAATTTGATGAAAGATTTGTTTCGAAAGCCGAATTTT